GGCTGGGGCAGAGGGGGCACCCTGGGGTATCGCTGCTATCTCATTTCGGTCAACTGATGTTTGACCAGGGGCCTGGGGCGCAGGCGGGGTATTGGGCTGGCGGCTTTCGATCGGCTGGGTCAAAAGGGATGGGGGTGGGGCCGTCCCCAGGTCGAGGGTGCGGCGGCGCTGGGGCTGTTGCGAAAGGCGTAATGGAGCGCAGCAGGTGGGGGGTTTGTTTGCGAGGAGTTCGGTCGCAGCTTGCAGCTCGCGCCGGCGCAGCAGGGAGTGACGAGCGGTGGTTGGAGCAAGCACTGCCAGAGCAGGCGCCAGCACTCCTCTGACCCATGCACACGCGCCTGTTGTCGCGCCCCCTCCCTGACCCCCAGGTCCACGTGGGCCCCCTGGTGGCGTTTGACATCTGCCCCTTCATGTGCGCCCAGCCCATGCAGCTCTACATCAAGTGAGCCCCGGATCACCCCATAGACTTGGCGGACGCCGGGCCAGCCAGGACATTTCTGCGACACGCGCGCAGCTGGGGGTCCGCATCATCATATTGACCAGGCTTGACCAGCCCCACATCCACACCCATCCGGCCTTGCCGCGCTGCGCCTCGCTGCACTCTTTCGCTCCCCCCTCCCTCGTCCCTCCGCCCGCACGGCCCCTCCAACGCCCGCGCCGCCCGCCGCACCGCTCCGCTCCCGTTTTGCAGGCACACCGCGAGCGACACGCCGCTGCTGGACATGCTGATCTGGCACGAGCGCCTGCTGTACCCGGAGGAGGCAGGCAAGGCGCGCCCCAAGAAGGCCTCCGTCGGCGGCGTCGCCGCGGCGGCCGGCAGCGGCTCCGACGGCGAGGGCTCCGAGGGCAGCGGCAGCGGCAGCGGCGTCGAGGACGCGGGGCGGTCGTCGGTGGCGCAGCTGACGGACCGGTTCCGGGGCCTGCTGACGGGGTGGCGTGCGTGAGGGAGGCCGTCAGCGGCGGCGGCCGCCTGCGCGCGGGCGACGTAGAGCATGTGTGGTGAGGGCGGGGCTGGCCGCACCTGGCAGCCAGCATCCAGCCCTCAGGCGCTCAGTTGCTGCAGGCCGCGCGCTACCTGCTAGGGGCCGCGCCGCAAACTTGGGCCAGCTGGCACGCGGGAGGCGGGCCCTACTGGCGGTGCCGAGGGCGGCGGCACGGCAGGCGCCCACCCCCTGCGTTATCGCTGGATGGTCTAAAAGGCTGCGCCCATGCACTACTTCGCGGGAGGCTTCCTGGCCTCTGCTGCCGGCAGGCAGGGCCCCAAGGCAGGCCGGGGTGCCGAGGGCTTCGCCAGCGCGGCGCGGCTGTTCGTCTCCCTTGGGCCTGTGCCTCAGGGGGGGGGCCCTGGCGCCCGCCCCCACTGCTTGGAACGGGCCCCAGCTGCACAGTCTTTGCTGCTGCACCAGACACAACAGACTGCATTGTGAAAAACCACCTACTGGCGGTTTCGCAGCCGCACACCATTATCCCATGTGGGCACAACAAACTGTTCAAGTGTTTGTTAGAGCGTGGGCAACTCTGCGGCGGTTGCCCCCTCCGCGAGTCGCTGCGGAGCCACACACGCGCACATATGACCACCGAAACTGCGTCAGTGACACTCGCATCCGGGCGCGAGGGCCCGGCTAGGCGGCGCGTGCGGGCGCGCAACTGCCGCCTTGGGCAGAGCCTGGCCAGCGTCGCCTGTGCAAGGGCCCGGGCGGCGCCTGCGCGCAGGCAGCCGCGGGCCCCGCGCTCATGCACATGCATTGAGCACCCCAATGATTGCCCCCCACTTGCCGGGTCCATCTGACACTGGGGTTGCAGCCGATCACGGCGCCTACCTGTGTGTTGCACCGCAGCTTTTGCCCGCCATATTTTCTAGCGGGTCTCTTGCAGCCGCACGCCCGGAGGACCCTCGCCGGGTGTGCGCGGGTGCGGCGAATCGCTCGCCCCGGCACGACCCCTTTCCCTACCCCGCATGTGTTCCTGCTGCTTTGATCCACGTACAGTGTGCGCTGATGGCCCCCACCGCCCTTTACCGTAAACCCGGGGCCTCTGTGGGTCATTCTGGGAGTGCACAGTAGCTTTCTTGCGAGGTTGTTCGTAGTTACGGTTCTAGTAGTTACGGCGCAGCGCGCGCTTAGGTCTCAGCGACCCGAGGGCTTAGCCGATACGGCCCCGCAAGGCCTGTAAATCCATCCAAAAATTCAGAACGACGCAAGGATGCAGACGCCGTCCGCGCCATATACATACGCACGCCGGGCGGCCCGCGCCGGCCCGAATCTCGCCACGATCGCGCCGGGATCTCGACGGCGCGGCGCGCGTACGGGGGCCTTGTGCGGCAAGCGCCGCGTGCAGACGGCATCGGGGCGGCGCGCTGCACGCTCCGCAGCGGTCGCCCCCCACATACGGCCAGCTCCGTGCGCGCGCCGGCGACGGCGGGTGACGTGGAGTGACAGAAAGTGACCGCGCGCGTGCATAGCCTGCATGGGAAAAACGAAGATGACCACCACTGGCACCAACAATAATATTAGGGGGGCCCGTTGGAACTCATCACCGGGGGCGGGGTGTTGCTCGGCCGTTTGGGAGCAGCGAGCAGAGTCGCGCGTGGTCTAAGAAATCTCGCGCTTTGTGCATCCAGCGCATAGCTATCCCGACGCCATAATTGAACCCGTGCAGCGTCGTCACACCTCGCGACTTGTGACAGCATAATCGCGACTGCGCCCCCGAGTGCTACAACACAACATACAAGCTCTTACGAGTTCTTGCATTTTTCGAGCACAGCCATATCTCATTACCACCCAGCCGTTGCCGCGGCCCAGAATCCCTCCACTACGAGCTTACTGCTTCTCGGCAAAAAAACTACATCATCAAAATCATGTGCGGGTGAGCGCCCACGCGGTGATCAGCAGCATGAGTGGCAGGAGCAGCAGCATGACCACCAAGGACTGGACCGCTTGAGCTCAGGCCGCTGTGCTCATGGGCAGCAATCGCGCCGAGAGGCAGGGCCCCATCCGGACACACGAACGTACACATATCAGTACTGTGTGCATGCTACCACAGTTTATCAATTGACTAGCACCCGCGGGGAGGCACATGCCCGGTGAAGGGCTTGCACGCGCATTCCGGTTGCTCACAGCAGCAACAGCATCACATGCAGCGACAGCAGCAGCGCGACGACCCAGGGCTGGACCGCATCAGCTCAGCCACTGAGGGCTGCACCCGCCCCTAGGAGAAGGACGTGCTTGACAGGATGCACATTTCTGGTGTGGAACACACATTGCCACTTTTGCAAGCCACATGTGCGATCCACTAATTGGGAGCCCACACGGCTCCACCAGCATGTGACCCGGGCTCGCTGGCGCGCCCTTCCTTGCCCCTGTCATCCTACATCTTCTCAGCTGAAGACCGAGCATAAGCGATCTCCTGGAACACGCCGACAGCCACCACGCACAACGCTGCTCGCACACACATGCCAATGAGCAGCACCCCCATTCAGCGAACTGAGTGCGGGGGAGGGGCACCCCTTTACGCGAGGCACCAGCTGTATATGTGCGACCAAATCCCGTAAAAATTCCTGGGAATCCTCGTCCACCCCGCCAATTCGGCACCAAGCAGCGCGCTCACTTCACAGTTGCGTAATACAGGGGGCGCAGCAAGCAACGCACGCGTCACAGTTCAATCCTGCGGCCATCATGTGCTCCCCACCCACCCCAACAGCCCGCTAGTCAGCGTGCCCATTTAAAGAACTGTGTTACGCGGTAGGCGCAGTAACGCTAGGTTTTGGCCCCTTGATGTGGGGTCGCTTCCCGTTCCTTGGCTGCCTCGGAGGCGTGCTAGCAGCTGGCACTAGACGCCGAGAGGGGCACAGCACCACGCATGCGCGCGCGCATGAATGTCAGCCGCCCTTTTTTTGCCGGCTAGTGGTGTAACCGATTGCTCCCAGGCAACCACACGTGTGCTCTGTGCGCGGCCGCATGCGGCAGGCCCAACACAGACCGTGCGTTGGCAGCCATCGCTGGTCCACTGTGCAAGGGGGTGCTGCACAGCGCAGCACGCCGTGTGGACGGGCGCTGGCCCAGTTGTCAGGTTTGGGCAAGGCCAAATGTTTGGCTGTGCACCGTTTCAGGGATGGTGCAGCTGGGCACAGGTCCAGCCGGGCGATTTTGAGGGGACAAGCCACGAAGCGGTCGCCGGGCTGCTGCAACCTTGCGTGCTGGGGATTCCCCAAGGGAGCAGATGGGCTGTATCTACACAGAAGTGTGCGGGCGTCAAGCTGGCAGACCCTTGCAAGGGGTCAGGGCTGCCCTGCGCGGTGCGCTGGGGTGCGTGTGGCGCTGCGGCCGCGCCGGCTGCCAGCAAGTGGCAGTAGTGCGACGGGCAGCGCCAAGGAGGTGCAGTTCGCGGCAGAAGTGCACATCAAAGCCCAAAAAGGTCACAGAAAAACGAGCAGTGGCAACAAATTCAACAAGCCTCCATCATACCAAAACAGGGTGCAAGCGCCCATCAAGGCGACGGGCCGCAGCTGCTGCGGGCTCCAAGCGCCCTGGCCGCAGGACAACCGGTCTCGGGGAGCGCGGCTGGCCTGCCGCGGCCAGCGGTTGGGGGGATAGGCAGGGAACAGGGACTGGACACAGGCGTTTGGTCCCCCCCCCCCCCCGCCAGCCCGCTGCCCCTGGAAGCTGCGGCAGACGGCATATGCATTCGGGCGCGGCGTGGGCGGCAGCCGCGGTGCACTCTGAGTCCGAACCACCGCCCGCAAGAGCGACAGATGCGCGCTCGCATGACCTCAACGGTGCAGGCCGCTCGCCGCTCACACCCTTTCCACGGGCCAGCTGCAACGAGCAACAGCGAGGCACACTGCATAAGGCGGGCCTGCGCCAACCGCGGGCCGCTCAATGTGCGCGCCCGTGGCAGAGAAAACCCCGCCGGCCTCGGGCCTGCTAGGGCCCTCAGCCTGGCGCCGCCTCGCTTCGCATCAGCCATTGAGAGGCGCCGCGCAGCTGCAGTCGCCGGGGACGGCCGCGTCACGCCGTCGCGCCCGCGTCAGATGGTGCGGTCGTACCCGTTGACCCGGTCCAGTGACTGCCACCTGGCGACAGGGCGGCGTGGTCGGGGGGTTGGGGGTTGGGGATGGAGGGGCGGCGATCACGCTTGCGGCGCGCACGAGCGGGCCCGACAGCCGCCGGCAGGGCGGCGCACACGGCCGGTTGGCTGCACGGCCGGCTTGAGCTGCCACGCGCCTGCGCTGTGTCGCAAACCACCGCCTCGCACACCGCTGCGTTCGCGCCTGGACGCATGCGCACGCCCCAATGTGCAACAGCTTTGTGTGCCCGCGCCCCGAGGGAACGAGGCAAGCGGGGCGTTGTCTCACCTGCTGTCGCGCTTGGCGTTGCACTGGATGACATGCTTCTCACTCACAAACCAAAAGGCACTGCGGGCGCGAGCGAGGGGGCGGGAGCGGCAGGTGAGGTAGTGCTTGCAGGCATCGTTCGTAGGCCCACAGCTGTGCACTGGGGTGGGCGCGATCCAATCCAAAACGCTTCAAGGAGTCACCCAGCACGCTTCATGGAGCCACCCCCGCTGCGTGCGCTGTGTGCTGCACATTAGTAGTTGCAATTGCGACCAGCAAATCCTCGCATGTGCATGCGGGCGTGTACACACATGCAGGCGCATGCATGCGCATGTGTGCCCGCATAAGACCGCGCGGCCACCTGAACACCGGCATCACGACGACGGCTGTGCGGGGCCCGGAGGTGAATTTGAGCCTTTGAGCGGTAACAGGGGAGGGGGGAGGGGCCAGGCGGGGAGGACGGGGGCGTCTGGATCCGCGCGCTCGCCTGCGCCAGGCTGCGACACCTTGAAAGACGCAATGTCCAACCGCAACCAACAAGGCAGCGGGCGCGTCCATCAAGCACAAGCCGCCATGCGGCTGCCCCGCGCCCTCGTGTGCACCTGTAGGCCTCTGAGAAGCGCTTCATGAGCCACGACAGGCCGCCCGACACCCCCCCAACCAGCGCCGCCGTCTTGCTGCCCTCTGTGAGCGCCTTGTTGACGCACGCGTCCTGGCGCTCCTTCTGCTCGCGCAGCTCCGCCGCGGTGATGCCGGTAAATGACATGGCGGCAGCGGCGGCGCGGGGCGCGGCGGCACCAGAGGCACAGCAGCCCGCCTGCAGCACGAGCGGCGAGCGTGCAACGGTACGCAGCCGGACGGCGCAACGCCTCTGGGCCACGGGCAGGCGGTGTGCTGCTTCTTTTCACGGCTTCCAGCGCATCTATCACGGGCAGAGCTGACCCGGCGAAGACAGTCGTGTGAGTCGGCCAAGCCACCTGGGCTTCGATTCGACGATCTTGGAAACCCGGCAGGACAGCGCAACGAACGTCAGTGAATGCAGCAGGTGATGTAATTGTGCATGAAACATAGACACGCCGGCGAGCCTGTGATGAGGCTGGGGTTGAGCCTCATGAGTCATGGTGACCAGGAGTCGTCGGCACCTGGTCGGCGCGCAGGGCATGGGGCCAAGCCCTCTCTGGGGAGGGCAAGAGGGCAGGGGGCCCCCTGCCCTCCCCGGGGAGGGCTTGGCCCCATACTGACTTCACGGCTTGATCGCTCTGAATACGTGATTGTGGTACAGTAGCAAGCCCTCCACCTACCAGTGCTGACCGGATGGGTGTCGCGCGTGTGTGGGATACAGGAGTACGGCTAGTGTGCATCCCACTTTTGTTGGGGGCAGCACCCAGGCCGGCTCAAGCAGCTGTGAAATGCGCCACCAGGCCAACTTCGTGTGAGAAGTGTGACCAGCGGTTACCCAGTGTTGGCGCATAACTCTGAGTATCAACTGTAAATCGCGGCGTTACGCTGGACGGCCACCAAGCGAGCTCTGGTGCGCCGACATGCACAGGGAGAAAACCGCACCAAAAGCACGCAAGGAGCACAAGACTTGGCTTGAGGCCCGCCAACCGGGGCCGGTGGCGGGTCGGGCCCAGCGGAGCACCAGAAGGTTGGCGGCACTCCCTGACAATACGCTGAAGAGCCAGCCCCTAAACGATACAGGGCTGCATCGGTCAGTTGGGCCTGCAACCCTTATCTCACGCACTTCAGCGCTGAGCAGGCCAGCAGGGACAATGTTGCACATGCATTCAAAAGCAGCACGTCATGCATACACAACTTGCTCGGGGAGTGCACCTGGTTGTGCCCATGTGGAATGGCGACTAGCGAGTAATGTAGCCCCATCCCAGCCAAAAAAGGGACTTATTGGCCTGCAAAGTTTATGAAGTGAACAAACCATATCTGATGGTTGCTTCACCCTCCTTATCAACAGCTAGCAGCCTCGCACGCGCTGCTGCACCGTTTCACTGTGCCATGGATTCAGAGCTGTGATAGTTTGTGCAGATACAACTAGGGGCGTACGTTGTCGCCCTTTTTTGCCGTTACCGTAATAAGCACAGTACTTGCGGTTGTTGAATACGTGCTACGCCTCACGACGCGCTCACCCCTGTGGCTGGTTGCCTTTGGTCCAAAGTTGACCGCGAGCATTTGACCTTGCTACATCGTGGCAGCAATGAAGCTGGCAGAGGTGCTTGGCACCAAGTGTTGCCGCTATCATGCGTTGCAAAGATTACGTATTGCCTGCATGCCTGCACTCATGTGGCGTCGCATGCCCTCCACACTGGACTGCCGCAAAATGGACACTCGGCTGCTCGTGCTCTCGAAACGCAGTCATCCACCGCCTACCACTTCACTGGCCGAGGACAAGAATATCCATCGACCTTGAATATCGTCCATAGCAGCTGAAACATGCAAGGAAACCAGGCTGGATCGAAGACGGCCAGGTGTGCGGGACGGGGCAACCAATGGTCAGGGGTGTCGCTGATGAGAGTTGTTGGTCGCGAATGGTCGGCACGCATGCGGTCGGGACGATTTCTTACAAGCCCTCTTACCTAGATTGCTCGCGTAGATGCAGCAAGTGCAAAAGAAGCGCACATGCAGCATTGAACCAACGAAGATGAAGCGCAGTAGCTGTAGATAAGATGCCCATTGTGATGGTTGAAGTTACAACGAGGCAGGGCGCCGGGAGCCCCGCTGCCTGTGGTGGACCGCGGCCAAGGTGCGCTGCGTAGCGAGATCCTACTGCCATGGTTGCTCGGATTAGACTCTTTACACGCTTGTATTCTTCCTGCACTACTACCACCGTCCGTCGTGGGCAAAGGCCATCATCGATGGTGTGGCACTGCATTCGCCCATGCTGCAGGCCCTTCCCGCCGAGACTATTTCTGCGACCATGCGCTCGGAGACGGCTGGTCACGCAGGTTTGAGATTTGCCGGGAATGAGTGGGCCAAGCCTGTCGGGGGCGCCCTGCTGGGCGTCGCTGCTTGTGTGCGCCCCACGTTTTCGCGAGCTGTGTGCGCCCCACATTTCTTGCAGTCGCGCCACTCGCAACACTCTGACTCCCCTTGAACAGCAACTCACAACCGTGCTCATAAACAATGTGATCCGGCCCCCTGCCCACAGGCTGCCCTGACTCCATCGCGGCCGGTGGCGATCGAGCCCCCGCCACCACAGCCCTCCACCCCACCCCAGTC